GACAAGGACAGATGGACAGGCCAATAGCTTACACATGTTGGTCAGAGGAAGTGAAGGGAGAGTTCAGCTGTAACCATTGTGGCAGACTGACAGGTGACAACTGCAGGATCCTGGACTAGAGGGGACAGGATTAGAAGCCAAGAAGGGCTGACCAGAGAGCCTCAACTGTAGGTCTAGCAGGGGCCTCAAGGAGGGCACCTAAGAAGAGTTCTTTGAGCCCCTGCTGCCCAGACCTTTTACACTCACCTCCTCCCAGCACATGGACTGCTACCCAGAAGCCCACAGTTCTACCAGAGGGGGCAGGTCCTGCTCTTTTTTCCTTTCCTCCCTCCTTCCCTCTTTCCCTCCCTCCCTCTTTTCCTCCCTTTCCTCTCCTCTCTTTCCCATCATTTTTCAAAAATAATTGTCAGCAGCTGTATCAGGTGGTAGCGAGCCCTGTCCCCATAGCCCGGGTGCCTGGTCACTAGCTTGATTCAGTGTCCCCAGACTCTTTCCAGGCTAACCTAGCCGACTGCTGGGTATGCAGAGGTATTTTCCCTGCAAGGTCTTCATCCTTCCCTAATTGTCCACATTTACTTCTTTCTTTCTCAGCAGTTCTGAAAGCCTTGGCAGCATCATTAATGCAGATTTGGTGCTCCGGTGTGGGGAGGGGGCTGCTGGGCTGCCACTCCTCTGCCCGTCCTGAGATGGATGTTTCTTTATTGCCCATAAATCTCCACATAGTCCTCTGTGAAGACAAATCGGAGGCCTCCTGGTCCCCAGTGTTTGTTAGGGCCGGTCGGTGGTAGATTTAATTAGCCCTCAGCACCTGCAGGAGCAGCTCTGGAGAGTTGAGGGGCAGGCTACGTCATGCTGTGTCTGCAGAGGAACCATCCTCTGCTCTCTTGCTTTGTCTAGGGGGATTGAGGCTAGTCCATGTGAGGGAACAATGTGCCACTTCTCCCTCACGCATCCATCTGCGTGAGCCCCACATGTCGAACACCATGTAATGTGACCTGCTCTTGTCCATGTAGCCCAGCAACAACCCAGGCTCATGCTTGTCCAGGCAGACCAGGCTGTGATGCCAGCAGCCTCAGCAGTGCCTGCCAGCTCCTAGAAAAGAAGGCTGTGGGTTCTACTGGGAACATAGTAGGTACATACTACATGCATAGTGAACCCACTGGATGCCTAGAAGAACAGGCCCCATTTCTCTGTGCCTGGGCATGAGGACTTTCCTCCAGGCTTAGCCACAGCAATGGTCAAGAGGGCAGGCCTCTCATGGAGATGGGTGTGTCTGCTGACGCTGTGCAGCCAGCCAGTCCCCATGTACAGTGTGCTACCTGAGCTGGGGAGAGGTGTATATCTGACACTCAGGATGTCAAGAGGATTGCTCTTCCGGTATCAGGGAGTCCACAGAGGGGAGGTGTGTGCCAATGGCCAGTTGGGCCCAGTACAATTCTGTTCTACCATTTGCTACATGACCTTGGGGATCTCTTGCCTCCCCCAAAACCTAGAGTCTCAGTACTGTGATCTGAGGGACAAGAAGACAGGCCTTGATGCTGACCCTGGTGTGTGTGTTGGGTGGGGGACTTAGGCACATGGAGATGGTGATTTTAAGGCTAAGCCTCTGTCTGGAAATAACCTCAGGGCTTAGAGTACATTCTTCCCTCCCAACCGATATCCCAGACACCAGGAGAGATAAACACTCATAATCTTGTGACATCCCTGAGTGCGCAGAGTGAAGAAGCCCATGGTGTCCTGGGGCAGAGCCTCAGTTCATAGCCAGGCATGTAAACAAATGTGGAGACCTGGGGTGGGGCCTGTGACTGAGGAACATGTTCCCACTGTGAGGAGGGGTCCCTCCACCTTGCTGTAGCTGTGATCATCCTCTGGGCCCTAGCTTATCTGACAAATTCTCACTTATTTGCAAACATGCTTCTGGCATGTTCTTGGTCTCACCGGACATTAGTTGGCCATCAGCTGCTGCATATTCTGTTGCTTCTATTATTTCATAACTAATTTGAGGATTAAAAAATAATTCTCCCAATTACTGTGCAAAGCCTCAGCAGCCAGATAAACAGGGGGCAGATGCTCTTGTCTAAGGCCAGCCATGTATCCCTGAAACAGCTCCCGGGACACCTTGGCTCCTTAAGGGCCTACAGTGGTGGCTCACTGTCCTCCTAGGGTCCTGAGGGTGATCTTAGGAAAGCTCAGCTCTTGGCCCAGTGCCTTAAGGACTGCCTGCTCCAGACTCATATTCCAGGGTAGCTGCGGCCATTGTGAGCCTGGCTCCAGACGTTAATTCTAGAAATTATGCTTGGTGGCATGGCCTGGGACAGTGGGTCCAGCCTGTGAACTGGGAAGGATTATATCACAGGAAAGCCTGTGGTGGCCTGGAATCCTTGGACAGGGGCCAGGTGCGTCCGTGGTAAACCAGCAGTGGACACCCAAGGGAGGCTGACATGCTCCACAGCCCTTTGCATAGCTTTAATTAGCTTTCTGCACAAGCCTCAGGGTCCCAGAGACCCAGGCTGAATACCAGCCGGTGGCCCACTTGCTGCCCAGCACCTTACCTGAGGGAGCCAGCTGGGCTAGGGCTGGGCAGGTGGAGATGAAGAGGGTCTAGGGTGGGCAAGAGTAGCCTCCTAGGGCTCTGGTCCAACCCCCACCCCTTTTAGGTCCCTCCCCATCACCGGCCGGTGAGCTCATCCGTTCCTGGGCTGTAAATATCACCCAAATGCTCACGACTCCCAAATGTGTCCTCCAGCCGGGCCCCTCTCCTGAGCTCAGCCTGCACAGCCCACGCGACACCCCCGCCCAGATGTCTCCTGGGCCTCAACAAGCCGCTCCTCCTGGCACCCCCACCTCAGGGACAGGCGCCCCTTGCCGGCTGCTTAGGGCAGACGCCTGGGAGCCCTGCCCACCGCCTCCTACCATCCTGTCAAGTCCAACTTGAAACACATCCCCTGCCTTCTGGATTTTCCCCACCCCTCCTCAGGCCTGGCCAGACAGTGGCAACTGCACAGTTCCTTCCTGTGTGTGGCTGCCAGAAGAGCCTTCTCAGGAATTCAGACCCTGCCCACTCCCCCTTGGGACAAAGTCTGTAAGGACTCTTCCCCCACCATTGCCTGGGCACCCTATCCCTCTGCCTCACCTTTAGCTTCTGTGCCACCTTCCCTGGCAGCCTGGGTAGTCCAATGTTCCTACTCCATGACGTGCCTGATTTCTCCCTCAGGGGAGGGAAGGGTCAGAGCCCCAAGGGGCAGGCCAGGGTCTCCACAGATCTCAATGAGTAGTAACTTAGAGGCAGTGCCCAAGTGGTGCACCTCCAGCCGTTCTCCTCCTGGTTACAGTTGAGCCTTCTTTACCATCACCCCACCTGAGGGCCAGCTGTTGGTGACAGAAACAGAAAGTGGCCTGAGGCCAGACAGTGCCTGTCAGTGAGGAGTGAGCCCTACATAGGTAGTGAGTTCTCTGTTCTTAAAGGCATGCAAGCTGAGGTGGGACCCCTATCCTGCTAGCCATTGAAGGTAACAGTGTCTGCTATAGATGGCCAGCTCAAGGACTTCAAAGTTCTTTGTCAGTAGGGCTTTTTGAGCCGGACTCACATTTGAGAGGACCCAGCCTCAGCTTCCAGCCCTGTCCCTCTGCCAGACTCAACAGGTTTCTCAAATAGGCAGAAGCTACTTGGGAGAAAAGTGGATTAAGACCTTTGTTTACTAGGTGTGCGCTGGCAGCCTTCCAGGGTGCTGGGAGCACTGATGGTGGGGTTGTAGGCACAGGGCAGACACAACCTCTCATCCTCCTTTCAGAGCTGCCTCACCTGGGACTAAAGGGGAGAACAGAGTATGTGTTGTTGGCGGGGGGTCTCCTTGGGGAAAGGGTCTGGGCAGAGACTTGGCAAGCAATGCTCCCACCTCTGTAAGACAATTTCAGTTGCTGCATCCCCAGCCCTGGAACAGTTATGTGGGTAGCCACGTGGGAAGCCACATGGGAAGTGGTGTGGCAATGCCAGCAGGCCCAGACCCAGGGGTCGCCTGGAAGAAAAGGTAGTACCATGGGCTGGCACACCTTCTGAGAAAGGGCAAGTTCAGACTGGACCTCAGCACCCCAACTCTGCTCTGGGTTCCTCTTTGGATGATGGTTGCTGAGCACGTCCTCCTTCTACCCCTCCCTCCGGCCTCCTCCCTGAGCTTCTGGATCCTGACCGCCCCCATGGCCATCTGGCTCTCCAGAAGTGCTCCCCCAATTTCCTCCCCAAGTCCTTGCATTTTCTCCTCCTTTTCCCCCAGTCCTTGCCCTGTGGGGGAGGCAGACGCCACATCCTGTACCCCAGTTTCCTGGCCACATCGCTCTCTCCCTTTTGTATGAGGCCTCTTCAGCCCAGGCCTTGGGAAAGCACATATGCGTCTTCTTATCTGTGCTGTTTTTAAGCACATGCATACACACGTGTGTGCCTGTGTGGCTCCTGCTCTGCCATGTGTGTCTGTTGCATGCTCACGTGTGTACATCTTCAAGGGCTGTGGGTGAGGATAAGGCACCTAGGTATGAAGGCTGTGGCCTCAGGCAGTGGAATGATAGTCTACACAGCTCCTGCATGATCTTTAGCCTGGCTTTACCCATTCAACTCTCCTTTAGGGACTCCCCCCGAGTCACCCCCTAGCAGTGGGAGTATGGTCTTCATCCCTCACCTTCAGCATCCTCTTGGGGTGGATGGTCCCAGAACAAATGTCCCCACAAAAATAGCCTGTTAAGAATCATGGCCTGGTACATAGTCAGCCCAGCTCCCTTGGCTGAGCACAAGGATATGAGCTATAGGGCAAGCTCAGTACTGCGGTTGGAGGGTGACAGAAACGTCACCTCACACCTGTGTATGAGGCCCCGCCCATTCAGCACAAGCTGCCCCACTGATGAGGCTGAGCAGTTCCATCTCCTTTCAGGCACTCTGTTCCAGGAGGAAATGCTGTGGGCCCACCCTTGTTTCTCACCACCCACAGTACCCCCAGCCCAAGAGGCCACAGTTTAAGAAAAGAGCTCTTTATTCCACGTCATCCGATATTTTTACACAAGTAAAATAAAATGCATATCTCTATATACCGCGATCCGGGTGGGAGGCGGCGTTCTGGAACAAACGCCACCCCCAGAACCCTGTAAACATGATGGGGTGGAAATGGGGGAGGGCTGATGGGGAGGCATCCATCAAGGAGGGCCTGGCCTGCCCCACGGAATCTGTCCCCAGCTCTGGCTGGCAGCATGGAAGGAGACCCCATATATACACACACCTGGTGGCTGGTGGCTGGTCAGCAGGGCCCAAGCACTGTCCACAGCACCAGTGCAAGGCCCAGGGGTACAAGGCTGCAGGCCAGAGCTGGCAGGGCCCCTGAACCCTCTGCATCCCCAGTTCCACCGCCCCCACTGCCTGCCTGACCCAGACGGCACTGGCTGCGGGTGCGATTCTTTCGAGAACAACCTGGCCTCCGGCGAGGGCCAGTGGTGGGCAGTCCTGGTGGCTCAGAACCCTCAGGCCTCAATGCAGTTAGTGGGGGCTCTTCAGAGCTGGGCAGGGTTCCAAATGGAGAGTCATTGATATGCCGTGGGCCTGAGCCATTGCCTGGTGGGTTGTCACCAGGTGGTACACGCCCCTTGAGGGCATTGCCAGCAGAGGCTGGCCTCCCGGACTCCAGCACCGAGGCTTTGTCCGCAGCATCTGGCTGGCAGCACTTGGGAAGGCCCAGCAGCTCCTCATCAGTCAGGATGGGACGGAAGGGTCCTGAAGTCACAGCACAACCCTCCAGGTCACTGGCAGCTAGGCGCTTAAGGTCTCGGCCAGCCAGGCGTGGGGGCAGGCTGCAGGGCACCTCTGATGAGGAACCTCGGAACTTCTGCAGCCAGGCCCAGAGTGGACGTGCCCGGCAGTCGCATATCCAGGGGTTATCATTGAGTCGCAGGTATTGCAGAGCCCTCAGGGGCACTAGCACTTCTGCCGGGAGCATGGAGAGGTTGTTGGCGAACAGGTAGAGCGTCATGAGGCGGCCAAGGTCCCGGAAGGCATGTGGGTGCACACGAGCCACATGGTTCTGGTGTAAGAGGAGGCGGTCAAGACTATGCAGGCCACGAAAAGCGTGCTCAGGCACACTGGGGATGCGGTTGCCGTGCAGAAAGAGGTGTGTGAGGTTGCCTAGGTCACGGAAAGCGTTGTCAGGCAGCGCCTGTAGGCTGTTGTCTTGAAGGTAGAGGTACTGCAGAGCTGCCAGTCCATGGAAGAGGCCTGGGCCCAACTCCTGCAGGCCACAGCGGTCCAGGTGGAGTGTGTGCAGGCGCCCCAGGCCATGGAATGTGGCAGGGTCCACAGCATGAAGCTGTGCATTGTCGCTGAGGTCTAGCTGCTCCAGGAGGGTCAGGCCAGCAAAGGCAGTGGCATCAATCCGGGCCAGTACATTGGAGTGTAGCCATAGAATGGTGAGATTTCGGCATGCATGGAAACTGGCGGCTGGCACATGAGAGATGCGGTTGCCGTGCAGGAAGATGCGCTGGCTGGAAGCTGGGATGCCGGTGGGCACGGCCTGCAGGCCTTGCTGGGGGCAGCTTGTTGTCACCTTGGGTTCATTGTAGCACACGCAAGCGCCAGGGCATGGTGCTGCCACCCGCCAGGCCTGTAGCCATAACACCCATGCCAGCAGCCGGCTTCCTGTGGGCAGAGAAAAGGCCGTCAGTGAACAGGATTCCTGAGAGGTGGGGGGTGATACTGGAACCAGACTTCTCCTTGGGTTAGGCTTCCAGAGGACTGGGCAGGGTCCAAAGGCTGTCAACCCTGGCAGTGAGCCTGTGGGACCTCTGTCTTTCATGTCATATAGACAATGCTGGGCTGTAAGTTGTCACTGGAGCCACAGAGTCCACACTGGTGATCTCATCTGCACCCCCAATGCCACCATACCTCACACACCTATTGGTGTGACTGTTGCTCACCTCCCCATCAGAGTGAGCCCACTTGCTACAAACACTCATCTAAAGACCTTCTGGGATGCAATGTTCCATCTCAGGACACAGTGGACACAGAACTCCTGGGATCTGGCTGCCATCTCCATTGGTCTAGTCTTATCTCTGATCTGCCCTAGCTAGCCTCACCAGCCTTCAGGCCAAGATGGAAGCAGGGAAGTCCATCTCTTGGCAAACACTGGAGGACCAATGAGGCTGAGCTATGATGCAAGGCCTGGAAGAGGCACCTCAAGCTGGGACTCTACCCAGGTTGCTGAGGAGGGACTATGGCTCACACCTCCATGCCTGGCCCAGGCTCCTATAGCTCTTGATTACCTCTGGTAGCTGGGATTGAGGGGAGTTCCCTCATGCCAAAGTAGGGAGCTAGGCTTTAAGGAAGAATTTGCTGACCCCATGGTTCCGTTTGCCTGTAGAGGTCTCAGTAGGCCTGGGGTAGGCCCCCTACTACCACCTCTGCTTTCAGAGGACAGGAGCTTGGGTACAGGGAAGGCAGGGAGGAGGGCACCAGTGATCCTGCCCCAGGAGCCTCTCCTAGGTCCCCAAGGCGGCTGTACACACACGCACGCATGCACGCACACACGCACGCGCACACACACTCCCTCCCTTTTAAGCACTTCCTGACTTGGCTCTGAACACCTCCAGCAGCCTCCTCCCCTGGCCTCATCTCTGCTCTGTCCCTTCCTGGGAGTTCACTCCTTTCCAGCCAATCCCTGTTGCCTTCCCACTGTCCTTAGTGGAACAGCCTCCCAGTGCTTTTCCCTAGCCCCAAGGTACTACGTTCCCCTCACAGGTCTCTGGGCCAGACACATGTGGGGTGTGGCCAAGGAATTTTATTGAATAGCAGACTGCAGGGCTGGGAAACAGTATCTAGTCCTGGCCTGGCTAGCAAGGCCACATCTCTAGAGAAAGCTTCTTGGCCTGTCACTAGAGCCCTATCCCCTTTGAATGCTGAAGGCTCTTTCTGCCTTCAGGAGCAAGTCTATTAAAATGTGAATCCCCATGGGAGGGCTATGGCTTATCAGCTAACACTTGAGTTATCAGCTAACACCTTCGTTGACAGCTAACACCTGCGCTGACAGCTAACACCTTTCTTGGCAGCTAGCTAAGATCAGGATTCTGCAGACAGAAGGCCGAGGCTGGCTAACTGCTTGGGGTTGCAGCCGGAGAGAAGAGGGAAAGGACCATGAGCCAGCTTCTCCTACAAGGCCTGGGAATCTGGGGACCTTCTGTTCCACACTGGGCCCCTTGCCACAAAGGGTCCTCGTTTGCCTGGTGCAGAACAGTTGCTTTAAATCCAGAGTCCTAGCAGGTTAGGCAAGCCTAACAGCCCCAGGGGCTTGATCTGATGGGCTCGGGCTTACTGGCCTAGGTCATTGGTTGGTTTCCAAGGAAGTGGCAGCCCATTGCAGCAGGCCTAGGAACCCCCAATCCATGAGCGTCCCTCTCTGGGCTGGCCATGAGTTCTGTTTAGCTGACATCCTCTCCGGCTCTCTTCCCTGGGACAGTGGGGCCTGGCCATGCCAGCACCCCAGTCTCTTACCTGCTGCCACAGAAGGACACCATGCTATAAATACAGTACTTCTTAGCCCTAAACCTCAGGACCCAGGCCTGGGTAGATTAAGGGCTGTCATGCCCTCAGGGCCAGGCTGGGGACTTCACTGCCATGAGTGATGGGTGGACCACATGATCAATCCTGCTGTGCCACCAACTACATATCATTTATAATGCTATGTGTGCTGGATAGCTTTAGTGTCAACTTAACACACCTGGGTTGAGTGAGCCTCAATTGGGGAATTGCCTCCATTGGACTGGCCTGTGGCCATGTCTGTGGGGCATTTTCTTGATTGTTGAGTGATGTGTGAGGGCCCAGCCCACTGTGGGTGGTGCTACCCCTGGGCAAGTGGGCCTGTGTTGGATAAGAGAGCAAGCTGAGCAGGGGCCAGGGGAGCAAGCCAGTTAGCAGCATTCCTCCATGGCCTGTGCTCCAGCTCCTGCCTCCAGGTTCCCGCCCTGAGGTCCTACCTTGGGCTCCCTGATGAACTGTGACCCAGGAGATGTAAGATAAATAAACCCTTTCCTCCCCAAGTTGGTAGTGGTCAGAGTGTTTTGTCACAGCAATGAAGAACAAACTAGGACACCATGCTACCAACTGGGCCTCACAGACACCAGCGTGTAACACCAACCTTTCTGTGCCACTTACCATGCCATGACTGAGACAGGATATGACTGCATTATATCCTATACTCCTTAGTCTTGAGGCTGCCAAATGATAGCTCAGCTGGGGTCAGTGTGGGGTGTCTAGGACTGAGCCATGTCAAGGAGGTGGGCAACTGGGGGAGTGGCTACATGGTACTCAGCCTTACCAGGCAGCAGGTATCAGGAACAAAAGACACAGCTGTACTCCTCCTGAAGACAATTGCCTTTTGGAAACCAACTTCTGAGAGTTGGCCCTCCTCACTGGCCCTGTCAGCACAGTAGCTGGGGTGGACTCTCTTCTGTTGCAGCCACAGTAATTGGCTCCAGCCTGGCCCCCCTTGGGGCCTGCCCGCTGGTCTCCATGGCAACCCCTGCGCTGAGCAAGCATGAGGGGGCATCTTTTTATGAGATAATCAAACCCAACTTTGCAGCATGGCTTGTGTTCACAGCAGGGGTTTGGGGAAACACCAGAGACCTGACCAGGCATTGGGAGGATGTTCCCTGACTCCACCCCAGCGCTGCCTTATCCAACCTCCCTCTGCCTGCCACCTTGGACAGCCTTCCTGGCCCATCTTTGTGGCCACTACAGTCTTTTGAGCCACAAGGCCTCTGAACTCCAGGTCTGGTCCCCTCCAGCCCTACCGCTCCTCTCTCCCTAACCTGCCCACTGTTTCTCATGGCAGACTGCCTTCTTTCTGGGGAGAAGCCTAGTCCTCTTGCCTTTCTGTAGTCTCCACCTGCCACTCTCAACCAGTCTCATTCAGGTCTCCATTCTGAGTGAGCACCCAGAATGCACGTGTGGGTAGAAAACAGTCCTGTGCGGCCCAGAACTCAAACATGGAAACCATGCCGGTTCTCTTTAGGTTCCTGCAGTCAGTTGAGCCAGACTTACAAGCTAGGCACAAAGTGGAATTTCTCCAGCTATACCCAGGTCGGTTTTCATCAGACTTGTTGGTGGGTCTCCTCCAGGGCTCTTCCCTGGGAAACCCACTAGCTGTTGGAGCTGGGTCATGGCCAGTGGCTTCTAGTTTAGCCCAGGTCATCTAGAGAGCCACAAGGGAGAGGGCTAGTTGCCCTGCCCACATGGCTCTAAGATTCCCCAGGGAGGGCACTAATTAGATACCAATCCTGGGGTTCCCCCCTCCACCTGGGGCAGCCAGATCAAGCAGCATACAACCTATTGGGCTACATTCACTAGGCATCTGGCACCAACAGCTCTTATGAGCCAAGAGCCCATGTTCACATTCGCTGCAGGAGGGAGTAGGGGGAGGGAGAGGGAGGGAGAGATGAGAGAGTGGGGGAGAAGGAGAAATAGAAGGAGGGGAAGTGGGGGGAGGAAACTGGAGGCAGAAAAAGGGCAGGGCAGAGGGGAGGAGGCAGGGGGACAGAGGGATGTAAAGAGGGAGGAGGGGGAAGGGAGGAGTCAGGTGGGGTGGGAGGCTTCTGGGGCCTTACCCAGCAACCACAGGAGCCAGCAGGCAAGCACTGCTGAGGTCAGCAGCTCACCTCAGCAGTCCAGTGAGCTGCTGGGCTGGGATTATCTTCTTTAGTATCTTCCCAGTCCGCTGAGTTCTTGCACACCCTCCCTCAACCCCACCCACCCCAGCCTGGGCCAACATCCCATGGGGATGCCCTCTTGCCCCGACCTGATGAGGCCAATAGACAGTGCAGGCTGACAGCCTTGCAGATCCAGAACACTGGTTTTCGTCCCTATACCTGCTGGGCCTCTCAGTCCTGATGCCATGAACTGTGGAAGGGTCCTACCCACTGATATCAAAGCCACAAAGTAATTCTTACCCATAACACAAGCCTGTTATACAGATCAGGAAACTGAGGCAGTGAGTGGTGAAGTGCTGCTCCCACCCTGAGGCAGTTTAGGAAGAAAGGTGGGTGAGGGAAGGGGCCACGATGCCACCTGGAGGGCCCTCAAGGAGCATCCAGCTGGCTCATGAAGGACAACTGCTGTATGGCTGGGGCAGGAGTACGGAGGGATTGGGCTGCTGCTGGCCTGTTGCACAGGTACTGGGGCACAGGGCTCTCCCACGCTGCCCATGGCTAAGAGCGATACCTCCAGGGATGCTTTGAGCTGCTGTCCCCAACCTGAGGCTGGGGTCAGAAGGCTGCGAGGGGCTGGGACGCTGTTCAGCTCAGCTCACCATCCTCCAAATACCAACAATGTCCCTGTGAGGCGGTCACAGAAGAGACCACAGTTACAAGGCAGAACAGCTCAGCACACAAAGACCAGAAATAGCTCCAGGAGGAGGTGGAGGGACCGATGTCATCGCCATACTGCAGAGGGTCAGGGCACCCCTCCCTGGGTCTGCTCCCCACTCCTGCCAGCCCCCCATCACTGACTCACTACCCTGTACCGACCATCTGTCCCCTCATCTTCACTCACTTTTCACACACACACTACCCACCCTCCATCCGTCCTTGGGCCCAGAGACACGTGCTGGGGTGGCCTGCATTCACACTGTGCTTCTTAGCCCCACAGGCCACAGCGATGGGGGCAGGAAAGAGGCAGCAGCTCCCATGGAGGATAGCCCACCCTGTCTCCTGGGGGTGTGGCCACCAGCCTCTGCTGCTCTGTCTTGGCCCCTTGAGGCCTTGTTCCTTATTGATCTGCAGGGCAAGCAGACTAGATCATAATGGGCAAGGTCACTTATCACGGCAGACACATGACCAAAACTGATATACCTCAGGTCCAGCCACAAGTAGTGGGGAAACTGAGGCCTGGTATGTGTTGTAACCTGCTTGAGGTCATACAGCAACTGCAGCAGAGCTGTTGGGATGTATACTGCTGACTGTACCCAGTCATCTGCCTGCTGCCTGGCCACAATTCTTGCCTCTGTCCAGGCTGCCATGATCCTGACTTGCCTGAGACATCAAGGACTGCAGAACACAAGCTCAGGGCTGATGTCTCTTCCAAGTCAAATTTATTGACCTTTTATTGATGAGGAAATGGAAATCACTATTCACAGCCCCAAGGC